ACTAAGCTCTAGTCACAGGTACAATTATGCTATTACACCTTTTTCAAGATTTCTTGAGAACCCAGGCAGCTAAACTTGAAGAAGATTGAATGGACAAATGAAAGAAAAAGGAATGGATAATGTCCAATCAACAATGTCAGCAAGGACCCATCTACAGCTCCTGTCTTCTTTCCCCTAATAAGTTAAATTAATCATAAAATTCATTGTGGATTGGATGGCTGTATATAAGAAATTAAGCAATCATTATCCTTCAAGCAGCACGTGTTATCATGGCTACCCGTGCAACAGGTGCACCCAACCATAAAAGTAGCTTTTAAAAAAAAGGAAAAATCGTTCAAAACGTCCCTCATATTTTACAAGATAACTTTTTTCATCCCTCACTTTAAAAAGTATAATTTTACGTTTTTTACAAATTCAAATTGATCAAATTTGGTCCCTACCTAGGTTTCCGATTAATTTTTGATAGGAATTCACCACGTGCAGTGCACGTGATCATATTTTAAGGGTAAAATTGTCAAATCAAATTTATATAATTCGATTCATAATCCATTACATTTCATAAAATAAATTTTTTCGTCCCTTACATTTCTTAAAATGAATTTTTTCATCCTTCACATTTTTCAAAATGAATTTTTTCATCTTTTATTGATCATTTGTGTGAATAATTTTTTTTTAAATCCATGTATATATCTATTTGATTTCACTTAAATAGTATGAATAGCATGTGAAATCAAATAGAGATATATTACATACTATTCGTACTGCTCAAGTGAAATCAAATAGATATATACATGGTTTAAAAAAATTGTTAGTTTTTCACTTATTTTAATTTTTTTTACTCAAAATTTGAAAATAAAGAAGACATTTAATCCTAAATATTATCCAGTATTTATATCGAATTAAATTTGGACAGAAAAAATAAACAAAAGAAATGTATGACAAAAAGAAATTAGTGATTGGCATTTTCAAATTTTAAGACAATCACAAGGCAAGTACTTCAACTGTTGGTCTTAAAAGTGTCAAGTAGAAATTTCGTATTTAAACTGAAATTTGTTAGCACAATTATAGAATTCGAATTAGGACTCATTAATTAGATGAACTTATTAGACAATTCAATAAATAAATTATTATCAAAAGAGAAATATCACAAATATTGAATAGGTTCAAATGGTGAAATCATATAAATATATACATGAGTTTCAAACAAAATTATTAGTTTTAAACCCCTATATATATTTATTGAATAGCATGTGTACAACTACAATTGACATGTTTAGATGAAATCCAATAGAGATAAATTATATGTTATTTGTAGTGTTCAGATAAAATCAAATATACATATACGCGGGTTTATAGAAAAAAAACTATTCATACATATGATCAATGAGGGATGAAAAAATTCATTTTGAAAAATGTAAGGGATGGAAAAATTCATATTTTGAAATGTGAGGAACGAAACAATTCATTTTGTAAAATGTTAGGGACCAAAAAATTCATTTTGTGAAATGTGAGGGACTATGAATCAGATTATGTAAAAATTTGATTTGACAATTTTACCCTTAAAAATGATCACATGCAAGTCACGTGGTGGATTCCGGCAAAAAACTAGTCAGAAACCTAGGTAGGAACCAAATTTGGTTAATTTAAATTTGTAAGGGACGTAAAATTACACTTTTAAAAGTGAATAACGAAAAAAGTCATCTTATAAAATGTAAGCGACGTTTTGAACGATTTTCCCTAAAAAGAACCAAGCAATTGGGGTGATTGTTATACTTGTTGACATATTTAAATTTTATCCAATCTATTATTTATATACATGTACTGATAATTATTATCTTTCATTGTGTTTATACATTTTTTAATTAATTTTTTATCTTTTCAAATATTTAATACTTAAATTACATCTTAAACGAGTGTTTGTTTAACATCCATTATCCTGACCCAAATAAATTTTAGATGGAATATACCAGGGAATGTGCGAAGGCAAAAGCTCAGGAGCGCAAAAAGCATATTCCTCTAAATAAACAGAGAAACTATGCTGGTTGTTCAAACCTTCTTTTATCCTTAATCCACACGACCAAAAGAATGTTTTTTATAATCAACGTGGTGGGAATAAATGGTATATTCTTCTGCCGAATAGAAAAATGAAAGCGAGAGCTTGAGGATGTAAATTGAATCAAGGAGTGTGATGATAACAAGAATTTGGTTATCTATACTTTGTTTGGATTGCAATTTTTCGTCGGAAAATTACGTTGTTTTCCGTGATTTCATTTCCCTATTACCTTTTTCCCTCACATACATCAAATCGCTACAGTAATTTTTTCATGAAAAATCATGAAAAATGCAATCCAAACACAACTTATTTAATGTAAGCCAATAAAAGAAGGAAAGAAAATCTTTTCAGAAGAAGAATCTTTTTGGTGTATATTTTGCTAGAAATTTTGGAAAATTGTAAGACATGGCATCTTTTTGCAAGTTGAATTATCTCGAAATTTTTTAGCTTAGGAAGAGTTTTCTTGATGAAATTTAAGAAGTCAAAAAGGGGGGTTTTGCTTTTACAAAAGGCAAATAAAATTGATATAAATGTGTGAAAAAGATTGCCCAATTATGTTTCTTTTAAGTAGTTCTCTTCTAGTTAATGGATAATAACGAGGTATGGCACTCACTAAATAAATATTAATAAATGTTTACAAATAAAAAAAAAGAGAGCCCAATTGAGTTAGCAACCAGAATAATAAATTAGGTATTCTTTGTGGGCTAATACCAACAAAAAAATGATATTTTTGAAAACTTGCTTGAACAGGAGAGAATTCCAACAAACCTTCTATTCTACCTTCCACCCACCCCCGCCTTCCCCGGTCCACCCAAAGAAAAAAAAAAAAAAAAACGTGCACATTTTCATGAAGCTTGAATTCTAGCTGCTATAAAATGGATATGATGCCTAATCTTCAAAACAAATTTTACTTTTTGATTTGGACCTCCAATCCAATACTCAATTTGAGGAAACAATAGATCATAGCATGATTTGGGAAAATTTTTTGCAATATATATTTTATATACATGATTCACATATTTTACAATAGCATTTTTATATTTTCAATTGTATTTTTATCTCATGTACATAACATTGTTAAAAATGCAACACTGATATTCCAAATAAAATTTTCAAATAATTCTATTCCAACACACGCGGAATTAGATTATGTTACTTTGTAATTATTCAAATTGAGTATTGGATATTAAAAGCCCCATTCCAATTTGTATGATATCAAAAAAGAAACAAAAAAGTAACTTGCACCTTCTTTAAAACACAAGCAATTATTGATAATACTTCCACCTTTTCTATAAGGCAGCAATGTCTATTTTTGCAACACTTAGGGGATGTTTCATGAAATTTTCGTGGTGGCGCTGTCTCCGCAAACCAAACCATTATACATTAGGTAAAGACAGCCAATGAGTCAAAAGCACATCCACTACTGGCTTTTCAAACTTTGAATGCTGCCGGCACTAAATCCATCTGTTCACATTCACGACAAGTTCCTCATTCCCAAATTGCCCTTAACCTTTTCTTTGTTCCAAATATCTTCTTTCAAGTGCTAGTAAATTTTTTTTTTTTTTTTTGTAGGCCGACAATCAAAATATTTAAGGACTTACTATCAACTTGTATTAGAACATCCATTAAATTGAAGATCTTTCAAGATATTTATGTTTTAAATGATTTTATTTAACCACAGATTATTTGTACTCTAATCACTTTAGATTTAAAGGCAGCAAAATAATTTATAATTCGAGATAAAAGATCACAAATAAGTATTTGAATAAAGAAAGTATAGTATCAAATTGAACAAGTATAAGCATAGACTAGTGCAATATAGCCTAAAATAATGCAAAATGGTTACTATAGTATGCAGAATTTCATTTTTCTTTCACCAGATTTTGTTTTAATTGTCATACAACTAAGTAAAGTGTATTGTTCAGGACCAAAAATAATATCTTTTATTAATTAAATTACTTATAATATACATTTCACTAGTTGAGTAGCAATGAATGTACTATTTGAGTGACCATTCTACTTAAAGAAAAAATTATTAAATAAAATAGAGTTGCACAATTTGCTATGCTCTAAATATCTAGGTAACCTTTGAAAATCACAATTAGTTTATAATTAATCTGTTAGCTTAAAGCTCAACCAAAGTGACATTTTCTATTTGTAGCCGACTCATAGTAAACCTACCTCATGTCTCCATATGTTTTCATTTCTTTCCCCAAAAACAAACAAGTTTCCATAGCTACAAAAAAATAAAAAAAAAAAAAAAGACAGAGAACAGAGAGATTGCATAGTCTAATTAGTCAAGGGCAAAGTCATCATTTGAACACAACTTGTACGGTTCATCCAACACAAGCCACAAGCACACCAAACTCCAAACACAAAGAAATCGAAACAAGACCTATAACACATAGACCCACGTTGCTGCCACATCGGTGAGGTGACGTCACATGAATGACTGTAACACCACTGCCCAGGTCAGCACCCCTTATAAATTCTTGCGCCTTATCCGCCTAAATTTGCCCCAGGGCCCATCCACGTGGCACCGCTGAATTTCTGTTCCCCACCCTCGACTCCTCAAGAAAGCAGTATTTCTTCTACTCCGCGGATGACACTGCTCAACAAGTCCCTTTCTCACCCTTTATGCCACGTGGCATTGACACCTCAATCTCCCACGTGGCATTACCCTAATGGCTTGCTTGTGGTCCATATGGGGGAATTAAAACCACTCAATCCTCACTTGATCAAACAGCATAGATTCCCGACGCGTGGATAGACCATTCACCTGACGCGTGCCATGTACCGTTGAAGACAGCGCGTGACAGAATAGCACAAGTGTGCCAGTTGGCACCACAAAGTATACGCTGGCCGACCTTATCCTGTTTTATATTTTCTCACTTTTTATTTTATATTTTTTGAAGAAAAATTTTTTTAAAAAAATATTTATTCAAAAGCACTCAGCCTTCACACGGAAACCAGAGGGAAAGAACTGATTTTTGAGGGGGAGAAGAGAAAGAGAGAGAGAGAGATAGACTAAACCCTAGATTTCTATCTGACTGAAAGCAGAGTTTTTGGATTTGACTATCAGATCCTAAAGATAAAAGAAATATCTTGTAGACAAATTTTCATCATTATACACAAAGGTCAGTTTCAACTTTCCATTTTTCCCCCACATTTTCCAGTTTTTATGTATTTGTTTGATTGGATAAATTTCTAAATGAAGGAAAAAGATTGAAAGGCTTCATTTTTTTTTGTTTTTATAGTTTTAATATGACATGCATGTATGAATAGGGGTAATAATTAATCCATTTTAAGGTTGAAGATTGGATTTTTACCGCATTTAGCAGAAGGGTTTCTGTTTGATTGCATGGATCTAATTTTTATTGAATTTAACGTTTTTTTGTTTATTGCTTGGTTTTGGATGAAACCCTTTTCAGATCCTGGTGAATTGGTGTTGGTTTGCATAGAAAGAAGCAATCTTGAGGTTGGTGAATTGGTGTTGGTTTGGATAAAGAAGCATTCTTGGTGTTGTTGATTTTGTTATATGATTTTCACTGATTCTTGATTGTTAGATTGTTGAACAAAAGTTGGTGTAAAGATGATGTCCAGATCATATACTAATTTACTGGATCTAGCATCCGGTAATTTCCCTGTGATGGGCCGTGAAAGAGGCGAAAGAAAGCGCCTCCCACGGGTAATGACAGTTCCTGGGGTAATTTCTGAGCTGGATGATGATCAAGCTAACAGTGTTTCGTCGGATGTTCAGTCATCTGTTGCCGTAGACCGTGTGATTATTGTGGCTAATCAGCTTCCTGTAAAGGCAAAACGTAGGCCAGATAATGTAGGTTGGAGTTTTAGTTGGGATGAGGATTCATTGTTTTTGCATATAAAGGACGGCTTACCAGATGATATGGAGGTTATATATGTAGGGTCTTTGAGAGTAGAGGTCGATTCTAGTGAACAGGATGATGTTTCGCAGTTACTGTTGGATAGGTTCAAGTGTGTACCGGCATTTTTGCCTCCAGACATTCTGGCCAAATATTATCATGGCTTCTGTAAGCAACATTTGTGGCCACTTTTCCATTATATGCTACCATTTTCTGCCAGTCATGGGGGTCGATTTGACCGCTCTTGGTGGGAGGCGTATGTTGCAGCAAACAAGATCTTCTCACAGAAAGTTATTGAGGTGATAAATCCTGATGATGATTATGTTTGGATTCATGATTATCATCTGATGGTTCTGCCTACTATCCTGCGGAGGCGCTTTAATCGGTTAAGAATGGGTTTTTTCCTACACAGCCCCTTCCCTTCATCAGAGATTTATAGGACTCTACCATTGAGAGAGGAGATTTTGAAGGCACTGCTGAATGCTGATCTTATTGGGTTCCATACATTTGACTATGCCCGGCATTTCCTTTCTTGCTGTAGCCGTATGCTTGGTTTGGAGTATCAGTCGAAAAGGGGTTACATTGGATTAGAGTACTTCGGAAGGACGGTGGGGATAAAGATCATGCCTGTCGGGATTCATATGGGACAGATTGAATCTGTGTTGAAGTTTGCAGATAAAGAATGGAGGCTGGAAGAGCTCAAACAACAATTTGCAGGCCAAACAGTGTTGCTTGGAGTAGACGACATGGACATTTTTAAAGGTGTCAATTTAAAGCTTTTGGCAATGGAGCAAATGCTAAACCAGCACCCTAAGTGGCTGGGAAGGGCAGTCCTAGTGCAGATTGCCAATCCTGCTAGAGGGAAGGGCAAGGATTTAGAGGAAATTCAAGCAGAGATACAAGCTAGCTGCAAGAGAATCAATGATAATTTCCGGCAGCCTGGTTATGAACCCATTATCTTTATTGATAGACCAGTTTCCCTCAGTGAGAGAGCAGCATATTACACTGCAGCTGAATGTGTTGTAGTTACAGCTGTAAGGGATGGAATGAACCTGACTCCATATGAGTACATAGTTTGCAGGCAAGGAATCCCGGGGTCCGAGTCTACTTCTGATTCAAATTCTCCCAAGAAAAGCATGATAGTGGTTTCTGAGTTCATTGGATGCTCTCCTTCACTCAGCGGTGCTATTCGAGTTAACCCTTGGAATGTTGAAGCAACTGCTGAAGCATTACATGAGGCCATTTCAATGCAGGATGCTGAGAAACAGTTGCGCCATGAGAAGCATTATAAATATGTCAGCACCCATGATGTTGCCTATTGGTCGCGTAGCTTCTTCCAAGATTTGGAAAGAACTTGCAAGGATCATTTCAGACGCAGGTGTTGGGGAATAGGTTTGAGCTTTGGTTTTAGGGTTGTTGCACTTGACCCTAATTTTAGAAAGTTGTCAATTGATGATATAGTGTCTGATTATTCAAGAGCTAAAAATCGGGCAATTCTTTTGGATTATGATGGTACTGTGATGCCTCAAACAACAATCAGTAAGATCCCCAGTCAGGAGGTTATTTCAATCTTTAACAAACTCTGCAGTGATGTAAAGAATACTGTCTTTCTTGTTAGTGGACGAGGAAGGGACAGTCTGGGTAAGTGGTTTTCTCCATGCAAGAATCTTGGTATAGCTGCTGAACATGGATACTATCTAAGGTTAGCTCTCTGCTATTATTTTTTGGTTTTTATCTTGGTTCTTTTCCTTTTATAGCTATTTATTTGCATGTGGTGATGTTTTTCAGGTGGCCTTCTGATGGAGAATGGGAAATGTGTGGGCAGAGCAATGACTTTGGGTGGATGCAGCTAGCTGAGCCTGTAATGCAGCTATATACTGAATCTACAGATGGCTCCTACATTGAGAATAAAGAAAGTGCAATTGTCTGGCATCATAGGGATGCTGATCCAGGTTTTGGTTCCAGTCAGGCAAAGGAAATGTTAGAACACCTTGAAAGCGTGCTGGCAAATGAACCAGTTGCAGTGAAGAGTGGTCAGTTCATTGTAGAAGTCAAACCCCAGGTACATCATAGCTCGGTCTTTGCTTTGCTTTGCACATGGATGGATTTCAGGCTTCTCTGACAGATTGTGTCTTTCTGTCTCCTTGCTGGTCCTCTTGTATAAAACTGACACCAGCGCATTAAAATCTTTCTAGGTTTTCTTGTGGGGAAGACATGGAACTAATTAATCCAAAAAAGGTCCTTTCGAAAGATAATTATGCTTTAGTGATGGACCTGTGTGGCTGTTGAAAGTCCTTCGGATTTTCTTGTGAAGAATTAAATGCAAGTTGAAATAATGTTTTCTAGTTTCTTCCTCAGTGATTCATCTGCTTATTTCCTCTTGTCCTTGGGCACTGAATCTTCCTGATAATTGCTTATATTATGTGAAGAAGTAGTATGCCAAAAAGCTGAAGTGTAAATGTGAAGCTTATTATATACTTTTCTTTTTTTTTTCCAACGTGCTCTCAATTTTTTGGCCTAGAGTTCATAAAGAACTCGATTATCTTCCTGTTTCTGTATGATTGTCCTCTGAGGCATGGATTAACTTTCCTTGGAGTCACTCTTTGAAACTTTCCTCGGAGTCACTCTTTGAAACTTTCCTCGGAGTCACTCTTTGAAACTTTCCTCAATCCATTTGCATTTCATGGATTTGTATGATCTGTAAAATTATTTATAAATGCACTTTGGTATGTCTATTATTAATTGTTTCTCGACAGTGTGAGCTGTGACCACTGACCAGGTGTGGCTGATTGGATGTAGTAAGGCCTTGTAATATGCTATTAGCATGACTAGATGAAACTCTAGTCCTTACTATTGACATCCCTAGTCTACAATAATAGTAGAATAAGTGGTTAAGAAAATAGTCAAATATGACTGGATCTTCAAGTATTAGACTTCTAGTGCTTTTTCCTGGTTTAAACACTGGTTGGTAACTTGTCTGGAAAATGTCTGTGTTAAGCTGTATGCATTTAATAGTCATTCACTTCCATTGAATTTATTAACCTCGGGTTTAGCTTGCTTTTCTCTGAATCCTCTCTCTCTTTAATTGGTGACAACTAGCCTTCGCTACAGGGAAGGGGGATGCCCCTCCTTTCCTCTTTGTGAGCTGCCCGTTCTGAGTTCTGGCAGAAAGTTTTTGCAGACATGTTGCCTGGCAACTCCAATTGATAGCTTCTACATACAATGCTCTTTGGACCTTTTTTTTTTAACTAATTCCAACTCTTCTCCATCCAGTCCCCCTTCTGAATGGAGAAAGAGGCCTCTGTAAGGAGGTCTAAGGGGGAAAATGTTGTTGCTGGATGATGATATGCTATCATTGTGCCACTTTATATTCCACTTTAGTGAGCTTATCAGCTTGCCTACTTGGTTGCTTTAAATGTTGGCTACTTATGCTAATTAATAATGAAGAGATTGTTATTTCAATTTCTTTGTGTATTCATTCACCGATTGCCATGATCACAGGGAGTCAGCAAAGGTGTAGTTGCAGAGAAGATCTTTGCATCAATGACTGAAAGGGGTCGGCAAGCTGATTTTGTATTATGCATTGGTGACGACAGATCTGATGAAGACATGTTTGAGATAATTGGAGATGCAATGAACAGTGGAGTCCTTTCATCTAATACTTCTGTTTATGCCTGCACTGTTGGTCAAAAACCTAGTAAAGCCAAGTATTATTTAGATGACACCTCAGAGGTCATAATGATGCTTGAAGCCCTTGCTGATGCCTCTGACTCTGTACCATCCTCGGTGGCTTTCACAGAAAGCTCGGACTGAAGTCTCCTTGACGGTCTTGTCTGAGTTCATTTCTGTTCTTCACGATCATACATTTTGAAGGATGCTCTGGAAGCCTGTCAGGGACCACAAGTGTTCCCTTGTGGGAAAACAATTGGAGAGTGGTTGATCCAACTCTCAGCGTGATATTATGGCTGTCAAGAGGTTTTAGTGCTGTCATTGACGATAGCAGGGGAAGTGTGATTGAAACCCAGATAAGCATGTTAAGTTGACAACTCAGACAAGTGAAAGATTTACATGACTTTGCACCCGGATGGATTCATTCGTGGGCAGTTAACAAAATAAAGAGCACAGTCAAGAGAGTGTTGAAATGTTCATTTGCTTGTACAATTCATTTTTTCATATTGCTTCAGGCAGTCTTTGCCTCAGGCAACAGGGAATTTTGGCAGCAGCGGTCTGGAGAACTGCTATTCAGGGTTCTTCGTCAGAAAAAAGTGTATACAGAACTTATGTTTTCTTTTTGTTTTTTCCATGTTACTTTTTCTTTTTCGGGGCAGAGTGACAGATTCATTGACACCAAATTTATTGAACCTGTATAATTGTAAATGATATAGAAAATTTTGGTCTCGTATTCTTCCTCCCTTTTCTTGTAATATTGGAGGGTTTCATTGAATCAAAGTTGATATCTGAATAGATTAGGTTTTGGAGGTGAGGAGACCAGCCCAACATCCATTCGTAGCAATCTTTGCTGGATTTGGAGTGTCTCGTTTAAATGGTACCTCTCTGGAAGAAGGGGTAGTTGTCACCCTCCAGCTTTGTGACCACAAAGTTAATAACCATCACCCCATTCTGTAACCTGTAGCTGAGTTTTTTTTTTTATTCGTTATCAGGCCATGTATGATTCTAGCTTTCTGCTTGGGCTTCAATTCTATCCTAAGAGTCTGATTCATTCAAGATGGCACTCCTTGAACTTGGACCATTACTCATTAGGATAGGTACCTGTTTATCCAAGGAACTAGACATGGTAATTTTTCACCATCCAACAGACCCAAGAGACAAAACTGGTGATAGCATAAAGAACTGAAACAAGTCAATTACGATCGCCATTTTTTGTTTTTGTTTTTGAGGTGTTTCTTTTGCAATCTTGAGATGAGCTTTACAATGCAATGCGTTCAGGACCAGACAATTCCAAAATACAGATAAGAAAAAATTGTGGCTGGTAGAGGACAAACTGATTATTATGGAAATGGACAATTTAATCCATCCAGTGTGATTCTTGGAACTTTGTAGTATTACCAGACATTCTAATGGGCTTGGCTCATGTTTAATATCTTAATAAATGCTCCCATGTGGAAATTAATGTTGGATTCTTGAGTAAATTGTCTCATATGTGCTATGCTTCGTATTGATCTTTGTTGGTCCAGAAACTCCCAAAAAGTATTTTGTTTGGTCATGATTTTCTTCTCCGATAAAGGGACATTTTCATGTCAAAAAAAAAAAAAAGAATGGTTTCCTTTTTTGGATTATTGAAATCCTACTTCTGCTTGTGATGATCATCGCCAGGTCAAAGGCTTGGGAAAATTGCTCAATTTGGCAATGTAATGTCTGGTGGATAGAAAAATTAATAAGGTAGAAACTGGAGATTTAATGACCTTCACTTATTTTCTATTTCACCTATTAATAATATCATTTGCTATGCACACTCAAATGGGAAACCGGCCAGCAATCGATTTTTCAAAATGAGATTAATTCTTTTTAGTTCTTGGCTTATGCTAATAGCTAGTGAGTTCTCTATACTTCTTCAAAAAGTAACTTAAAAGTCGAAACCACAGACCTAATGATTTGATGGCTTTTAACAGTCTAAGTTGTACACTTTTGAAGAATAAGTATAGCTCACCTTGATAGGCCGAAAAACCATTAATATTCTTTGTCCACCAGTAAAATGCCAAAGTTATATAGCTAGCGCCCGCTGGACAAAGTCAATTGCAGTTTCAGAGCTTAAGATAGAACGTGAAGCAAAGTTCATTTATCGAAATACTCATACAAAAAACTGTGAGTTATGAAAGGGTGAAGCAAAGTTCAGTCATGCAATATTGGGCCCATAAACCTGCCTGAGCAACCCGTGATGTACTTTGTTTTGTAATGATAAATCTCAATTCTCAAAATTTCAGCTATGTCCCCTTCATATAGAACCCTTCAAAACTTTCAGTAACTATATGCCAATCCCAGTCCCGTTTAGATTGCTATTTTTGGATTTTTTTTTTTTTGGAAAAATGTACGGCAGTGATTTGATGTATATGGAGTAAAAAGGTGATTGAAAAATGTTTCACGAAAAACGTAAAAATTTTTTAGTAGAAAACTACAATTTCAAAGTCCTTGAGGACAAACCTCAGCTAGAGATGATTCAGGTTTGTTTGGACAGGGAATTATTTACAAAAATTTATTTATTCGCATCATCGACATATTTTTCAATTACTTTTTTTATCTCACGTACATCATATTTATATATACATAAAAAAAAAAGCTACAGTATATTTTTCGAAAAAATTATTCCAAATAATCTACTATCCAAATACAATCGATATTTTAACTAACAAGTGACATATTTCTTGTTATGCAGACATAACAAGAAAGCAGCACAGATTAATTAACAAGTGACATCTTGAAACAAGAAGCCCACAATGTCTGCCTCCTTGTGGGGCGTGCAGCAAATCAATTAATCTGCTTCTTGTGATCACCACATCCCATGTAATGGAAGAAATTAAGGGTAAAAGATGTATCTGCAACAATGAGGTACATAGTGGCACTTTTGTCATGTAATTGAATTATTTCTCACTATCTCACTATTAGCGCAAAGCAGACAACAAAACCTTCATTTTGACTCATTTCCAAATTTGTTTGCCAATTCTAGAATACATACAAGTGATTGTCCTTGATCAAGGGCCAATCAACAAAATAGAATACTGTTTTACTGTTTCCTACTACTGGATTGGTTAATTTCTTGCCGGATTTTGTGGTAATTGAAATTGACATGATATCAATTTCACTATCTCTGTGAGCTGGATATGAGTACAATACCACTTCCCACAAATACATTATATTATGTTCTAAGCAAATTGGAATTAAACCACCACCTAACCTAACCTAACCTAACCAATGAGTGTATTTCTTGAATGCACTTGGAGTTCAAGTTGGTTAAATTTGGTGCACATCCACAATGAAAGGACACAAGAAAGAGCCACAAGGTGAGCTTGCTAATTTCTTGACACTCAAAAGAGTTTGAATCTCATTTTCTCCTTCTCCCCTAACCCCTTTTTCATTATTAAAATTACAACATAATTATAAACATAATGATAATACTCTACTACTACTACTAGCCAACTACTAATACTAATAATTGCAAAAGTATATGGATGCTACCTTAGAAGAAAAGGAAGAGAAAAGAAAGCAAACTCTTTGAACACTTGCATACAATAACACAAGATCCTTGGCAGAGATGCCATCTACCAAACTATACTCTAAAAGTTAATCCTAGTATATATATATATTATAGTGTTAATAATAGACATCCATTTCAAGGCAAGGTGCTGGTTTTGGTCTGTCATTCTCCTAGCTATCAAAGTTGATCTAAAGATTCACATACTGTCACATTCCTCTTTCGCTGGAAATTGAACCTAAGATAAAGCACAGCCATAGAGGGAGGATCCCAATTCAACTTTGTGCACATTTTGAGGTGAGCCCTCTACCACTAGCAGAAAAGTGCACTAGGCTCTTCTGCCATCTTACCAGGGCATGTAACGCCAACTTGCTTGCCTATCTTACCTCTTAACCATGTACATAGTATTAGAAGCTGTAAAAAAACTAAAACTGCATTTTAACTGTTGGCAGCAGACCTGGCCGGAGATAAGTATACCTGGCTTTGCACCACTGTTTGGCCAACCTTAAACCCTGGAACCACCGTAAAAACCACCCGAAAATCACCATCTGCTGCAGTAAAAATGTCGTCTGTCACGCTCTCCATGTACACTTCAGAGAATCTACAGTTCTTTTTCACTTGGAAAATGCTGACTTCATGATCAAATGAGAAAGCTAAGCAGTGCAAAAGCCAAACTCTTCTTCCCATCTCAGCAAAAGCCTTGAAGAATTCAGTTTCTGGATATTCACCAGAATTTACTAATTTTCTCTGATTCAAATTCCCAGAAAATGAGAATTCCATTTTGGGATGAATCAGCTGGAGATACTTGGACTTCAAGAATTTCCCAAGAAAAGAATTGGGATTGTGCTTCAGAAATTGAAGAACACTCACTGACTTCACTTTCTTGAATTGATCAAAAAAGAAAAGCCTTTTTTGATACCCCCCATTAGGCCAAGGTTGATTCTCATGTCGAACAGCAAAGCCTGGATCATTGAAACCGCTGAAAATTTCTCTGCAGACAAAAGATTCAAATGCAAAACCTTTGTGATCCTTCTTGACAAAATTGACTTCAGGTTGTATTGAATTTGCAGCAGCTTCAACATCCCAATTGGCAGACACCATCTCTTTAATCATCAGCTTCACAAAATTACGTATGGATCTCAATGCATAGTGCAAAACCATGATGAAGTCTTTAGAATTAGCCTCAGAGAACTTAACATTGTCAAGAATAGAAAAAGATCCACTTGCATTGATCTTCTTCTCAAGGGACTTGTTGTTCTGTATGGCCTCATTCAGCTCTCGTTGAAGGGAAGAAATTTGGGCCTCTTTTCCTTCAATTTCATTCTGCATTTTCTTCATGGTAATCTCATAAGTCTTCATCAGAGATTGCTGTTCTTGAATCTCAGCCAGCATTAAAGTCACATGAGGGGGTGAAGCATCAATCTGTTTCTTCAAGAAACTGTGTTTTAACTCAGACAGAGCTTTCAGCTCATCGACAACAGCCTGATCTGCAGACTGAATAGCTTCACCATTGTAAGGAAACTGAGCCATTTGTATCTCAGCATAAGCTGCCTTAACAGATGAAACTGTAGCAAAAAGCTTAGCAATGAAGGCCTCCATTGCAGCTCTGTTCTTTGACTCTTTTGCAGCATCTTCAATCTCTTCTTTCTCAAACTGTTGGGATTCACAACATTTGAGCTTTTCTTGAGGTATTAGCAAACAAAAGGCATTGTTTGAGCGGTTTTTTGTGGCTGTTTTCAGATGAATAACTTTCTGGAATTTCTTGGCTAGTTTGTTTTTTGATGGAGCTGGAGAAGGTCTGATTGAATCCATTGATTTTGTAGTATGCAAAAAATTTAGAGGACTAAAGGCATGTATGAACCGAGGGAAGAAAATGGAGGAAAGAAAGGCCGAGGAGGAACAAAAAGGGTGGCTTTGAAATTATCAGTGGGAAAAGAAAAGAAAAGAAAAGAGGAATACAATATAGAAAAGCAGGACAATTCTTTGACTCTATGGCCGAAATCAGAGATTGAGCTGGCTAAAGTATGATTTAAAGCGCGGGAAAAAGAAAGTTAAAGGATCATCCATAGATATGGACATGGGAATAGATACGCAGGCTTGGGAATTTTTAAAATTATATATTGGATCATTTCAAGAAATTAAGTTGATTTGGTGCTGTATAATAGAAGAGAGCTTTGACCGAAAATGCACTCTATTTTTTAAATGGTTGTTATGTTATTTTTTCTCCAATATTTTCTAGATT